AATCTTCAGTTTGTCACGATGGCGCAGCTCATGTCGTTGACTGGTAGTACAGATTATTTACATTTTTCTTCTGAGATAAAGCTCCCCGGTTCTAAGCCAACTGCAGCACTGAACACCAAAGATGGCTTCGGTGAGACCAAAAGTTACCCCAGATAAAACAGTAGTTTCATTGTTGAACTAGCCACCGTATGTCTGGATTGCAACACACGATCGCAATCTGGGATCAGTTTACTTTGGACCGCCCCTCCGCCATTTTTAGCACTGGTGCCGCATTTGAAGGGGAAGGTTTCGAGGCTGAAGTAACTCTACACTGCACTCGACGATAGGTTTCGTCCGGTGCTCCGCGAGCTCTGGCCTGGAGTCAAAGGCATAAGCCGCCAGCCATTATGTGTCGGGCTCCAGTCTTACTTCAGGATATCTTGACCTAAACAGTCTATAGCAGGAAGGGGAAAAGTCGTGGAGTAGCGTGTTGGGAGAGCGATACACCGAAGCTCTTCTCTCCAGTGGCTCCACCTTTCAGTGTATAACTTCGGCAATGGAGTATCCTTTGCACGAAATCCCTCCTATGGACAAACGTTTCGTTACAGTTAAATGAACGAAAAGAACACGAACAAAGATGAAATGTAGCTATCGCACTCAATCTTGCTTAGTTTTTTAGCGTTTTCGGCGGCGTAGAGTATAGCAATTCGTCTACCGATTCCAGTAGAACAACTGGACTGGGCTTAGTCCTTTGTCGCTAAGCTCTAACAAATATTTTATGCTGTAGCAGCTGAAGATTGGAAAGCCGGAGCACACCACGTGGGTCCACATGAGCAGCATTAAAGATCGGATACTAGCGAGCCCTCAGCTAAGAGGACGGGATTCGGATTCGAGCTTGGAAACACAACATATAAGTGTTCAATGACTAAGATTTTGGAGACATCATAACTGGTAGATTGCAACGCCGGGTTACCTGATGAGTTGCGATCTTTTCACACAACACATTATCATTATCAGCTAAAGTTGGAATTAATGCCAGTACAGGCCATCCGTTTTCAATCGCAATAGACTTCTAACTGTGATGCGCACAGTGTATGCAGAGGATAGCACTGACTAAGGAAGCACAGATAATGCACAATATTGTAGGCTCCATCATCAGGATAACTGCGGAAGAAAATCCGAATACTTAAGGTGAATGTCTTACACTGACTCAGAGTAGGTCACAACAGCTAGCAACTTCAGATAAGTGGAACCAAATAGCGACCAAATTATGCTTCTCAATACTATGTCGTACTTCTGTTTCTGCTAAGCGAATACTTTGATCACTCGATCTGACGCTTTCCATTGTGATTGAGCAAGTCTTATAGCATAGAGTCGAACTAGAATTGGAAAATCGCGCATATTGCTAAAGCCCTACATCTCACTGACGTAAGCCGCATCGTCGGTACGGATAGGGGGAATCCACATATTCCAGGAAACTTGTTTCCATCCAGGAGAACACGTACCCAAGTGGATAGTAAAAATCCATCCGACCATCGTGTTTCGGCCTTTCGAAACCATCCTGTGCGTACAGATATTTTCGACTAGAACACTTTTTGATCATTCAGTTAGTTTCACCACCATAAGACAAGTAGAAGACCGAAAATCTATGTATAATCTATTAATCTGGAATGATTCAGGTAACCGTTTAATATAGGACAACAATAATAAGCTCGTATTCTTATCCTGCGACAGTCGAACAAATATCAGCATATCCGTGAACCACAAAACTTAGACCACTGGAAGTGCAACTGAAGCTGATTTTCACTGCTATTCCCTATAGACTCAATCCACGTGAGGTGCTTGGACTCTGCAACAACGATAAGGTGCCCACTACTGTGCAGTGATGTTACGGCTTTCCTTCATGATCTTCTCCAACTGCAGTCGTTTAAGAAGCCTGCTCAAATGAGTTCCGTTCAAGCAACATTTTCCGTTCACAGGTCATTTTGACAGATCATAGTTGTCATCAGGAAAACGTCAGGTGGTGGTGGCTACGGGAGTTACTTATTTGCGCAAGTGGATTTCCCCATGTTGGGAAGAGTCAAATCAATGGATTGGTCAACGATATTCGTAGTGTTTCACTCGTCTTAATTCAGCCTAATCAGGTCTTTCATTACAATTAAGTTTGTATGCTTAGCGTCTGAAGATGTCAGTCTGTGAGCGTAGATTTTTCACTTGCGGTCACAGTTTTAATTTCATTTCTCTGGGCTAAGTAGCACTGTAAAGACTGGATGGTCAAAGGTCAAAAAGGTTCTAGAATTGGGCTTCTATACACAATCCTCTCAACCTTCTACAGGGACTTCTTCATCAACTCCATATGACATTGCGTCTCCCTGAAACACGTCGAGGTGTACATCTGAGTATTTGGCTTCTCCGTTTGGTTGTTCGTCAGCGAATTACATAGGGAGCAGTCCGAGTTCTCTTACGATTACACCCACCGCTAGTTATATAATGTTTAATGCCAATGGAACTGAGGAGACGATACTAAATGCACACTTGCAACAGTCTTCGTCTTCTTATTATGTTTCTCAGATTATTAGAGGGACCTTAGTGCTTTAAACTTCTTACTTCTGTTTTCTTACCTCCAAGACTCAACCACACTGGAATATCTTGAGGAGACGTCATTAAGTCTGAGGATTTGTGCAACCATAGCTGCTTTGAAGTAAATAGCATAAGCCCAAAAGCACTAGCAGCAAAAGCAAGCGAACAGGCGGAGCTTATACTTGTGCTTTTATTGGTAGTTAATGATCAGCACCAGTTTCCTACCAAACAGAAGCTGGAAATGGTCACTCCACGCTACAGAAGAAGAGACAGGGCTAAAGTCTCGACTTACTGCCAGACCACTGTTCTTTTGAGCCTGACCAAGGTCATGAAATTCATCGTTGCTTATGCGTTAGCGGCGTGCTTGGAAAACTACAGCTGCCATGCCGTAGATCAGCATGTCTTCACTCGACAGCTCTCTTGTATTATGAACGGGCCAATAGGACGAATCGACTGGGTTGAGTCAGCCGACACTGAGTAGAAAGTTGACGTGACCTGTTCGGATTTTCCGAAAGCATTCAACAGTCAACCTCATTAGATCATCCTTTTCAGGTGCTAGCATTACCGTAACGGTAGTCCTCCCTTGAGTTGGATCGTCATATTCTTCCTTCGGCGCTTATTGGTGCCTTGATTTCGAAATTTTCCACCCACTGAATATAAGCTGAGTGTGTCGTGCTGCATGGCTCAATTTTGAGGGTACGGTTGATATTGGTAGTCATTAATGACTTTGCACAAATTCACGCTACAACATTCTTAATGTTGGATGCTGAAATTTGCATAGGGAAATGACTGCGATGGATACTAGCCAGAAGTCGTTCCTGTAAGACTTAGATACGGCATGCCAGTAAGCGACATGAAACCAACCGCAGTTAAACGGGAGCAAATTTAAGCTGCTCTTCATATTATTTCAAAGCATTCAATCCTGCATACTCGGCCCACATTTGTTGCAGAGTTCTTCTGTGTAGTGTAATCCCGGCATGCTGGTTTAATGCGACTTGGGTTGTTCAAAGCGATCCGAAAAGTCATCAAAACTGACTACTGAGGCGATAGACTGTCGATGAGGACTTTCGGACACAAGGACATCTCTATGCTATGTCAACTGCTCAGTTTCCATGTCCGTTCTCATTTCCAGTACACAGTTGAAGTCTGGCAGCCACGGCTGAAACACGGCCTCACTGCTGTGGAACCACCTCCGTGATGGACCTCCAAGCACTTCACTGCAATACACATTGTTGCGTACGATCAGAAACTGAAATGTTTGGCAGTATCCAGCGGATGTTAAAGCCGATTAGGAGGCTAACTGTTAATGGCTTACAGCATGCAACACAATCCATCTCGTGTGCGCCATTCTTTGCTGAAGCTTAGCGGTGACATCAACAATATAGGTCAGTCATTGAATTGGTAGAATAGCACCGCCGTGTGAAATATGGTAGAAATTGGTTTTCCATCCGAATGGGCCTTTTTCGCATTGACTCTAATAGTGTTTAAATGGTTGGGTGACCCACCTGCCACTTACATTTCGACAATTCCAATTATCCTTCGGTTAACTTGCGGGACAAAGTCCCTGGATTTACCATACGTCATCTCTTTGTGCAGAAATATAGCATTACAATCACGTTAAAAGGGAGTTTGATTTGCTAGAGAAACTACGGTTTTCTATCTGTAGCGGTTGCCAAAGCTACTAACCGACCACTCTATGAGATATGTGAAGCAAATGCTACTCAACCCATGATAATTCAATGTTCAATGTTCCGTGATGTGTCATTCGAAAACCGACCAAACAGTCTGGTAGGCCACTTAATCTCGGCCGCAAGATATGCGACTTGCAGATAACTTCGTTGGCGAAAAGCGTAATATTGTCGGGGTGACCACCATCTTATTACAAACGGGGAGATCTACCTGCGAATAAAGAATTTATTTATTTATTTATTTACTTGACATGACTTGTTTATGAGCACAGTATAGGACCACCACACGGGTCTCCGTTAAGTTTTGACTATCGACTTTCGCCTTCATTTTATCATCAGATTAAAGTCAAGGTCACACGCCTTGCAACAGCATAGTATGTCTATTATCATATTAGGACAAGCACAAAAGATACATTTCGTGAATGCCGGATATGGTCGTTCGAAAACCAGATGTTGGCAAGCACGCCAACTTGTGACAATTCCTTACTTCGTAATTTGAAGTTTTCTACATTTAGGAGCAAGTGCTTAACTTAATCCGTTGTAGCTGACCTTGAGAGCATTACGCCCCAGTTGTTATTTCTCAAAAGAAGTAGGCCATCACAGCAACCCAGCCAAATCTTTTCCCTATAATGTGATTGAAATTAGCGTAGAGTACTGCGATAAAGGATATCATTAATCTTGCAAGATCCAGGCTTCAGAAGTGTGCGCACATACACGCATTATTGGGCGAATCAACTCAGTGTGTTCCTCTGATTATGCTTTGACACATTTCAGCCCTGCGCAGAGACCTGAACAACACTGGTCATTTGTTGTGCAGACTGATCCAATTCCAAGACAGTTGCGACAGTTGCCATCAGCGAATCCCTTTAGTTCGCAGTGCAGATTACCACAGCATCGATTGAACAGAGTCCCGTCGCACCATTCGTCCAGTTTACGACATTCGATGGCCTCGTTTACGTCTGAAAGGTGATGAGCAGTAATGGATGGAAGTGTTGTCGGATGCATTAGACAAAAGACTATTATGTATATTTAGCGTTAACTGCATGGGGTAATAAGGGACCGCTGGAATCTAAAGTGCAAGAAATGGAATGCTCGACGTTTCACAGGGTGTAATCGGGATCAGAATTGCATTACGACGCATAAAACAAAGTAAATGGTGCAACATTTCGGTCTGTGCTGGCGCAAGATGCGTTCTCCAGATGGAAGAGCTTTGGTGTTTTTCTCGCCCAACACTGGCACGCAGTGACCCCTTTCGTCCTCGTTTTGACTCAGCAGGTGGTGGAAGCCTGAGATGAAAGGTGGAACTCTGGGTCTAGTGGGTAACAGCTGACACATTACTCACTGAACCACTGAGATCCAGATTCTCAGTAGACAGTGCGTTTTACAATCCGACCGCACAGCGATACCTCAAACCCTAGGAGATCCAAGTAGCCCTTCTGCTTTCTATGCATTTTGGTAGTCCATCGTGGCCGATAAAGCATCATGACAATGAGATACTTGAAATCTGAAACGAACCGGGGCGAGATAAGTGGTACTTGTTTGCCCTATTTCTGACCATTCAGATTGACATACATTCAATGAAATTCACTTGCTGAAGGCATTTTTATTTTGATCGGTTACTATCTGGTACGCACAAGGAAATCCCAGCCTTGCCGTAGGTACCATCCACCAAGCACTTTTATTATCTGCAACTTTAGCAGGTATGGAAGGTAACGCAAACCTTTGATATTCCTAGCTGTTAGGAGTTCCAGTACACTTAGTGTAGCATAGTCCCGCTTTGCCAGTGTTACCTGACTTGGATAATGTAGTTGACTTGAAACAGTAAGCATGGAGCGTTGGGAAGTAGAAGAGTGAGTCAGACCCTGAGGGCCTACGCCAAAATCCGACGTATCCGTTATTCTTGACGTCATAGCAAACTGGTTGAAACAGCCAAATCAATCTTTTACGGGCACAGTTGGTTCCCAAGGTAGGTTTGAAAGGTACCTTACACAAACCTATAAAAGTGGGATTATCCATGACTCATTGGGAATAATTCGCACCAGTATACACGGAATGAAATATTATGGTGGACAAGTCCTTTGAAGTTCTTATCCCCTATCGTTAGGGTTTTAATTGATAGCTTACATACTCCATCGAGATTCTGATTTACAAGCAGTGAAAACAACCGAGGCTTAGATGACCAATAAAACTAGGCACAATATGGGTACCATTCACAAACGCGACCATATTCCACATCCAGTAGTACACTCTCTGTGATGTAAACTAGGTTAGATGGGACCCTAGGGCTGCTGTCGCTTCCGAATACGGTTGACAGGAAAATATACTCACTCATCAAAGAATTAAGCATACGAGTCCATGGATTCAAGCCGCACGGAACAGCATACAAGGATCTAAACAAGTAGCACCTTCAGAAAATTCGCTTTTATGTTCTTAGATTGCGGCTCACCATCAAAAATTTTGGCTCAGCCGTCGCATACGGGCAGCAAGTTTGAGACACGAACGATGCTGATGAGAGCCATGGTGCTTTGCTGCCATGGCCCCGCAAATTACAGTGAGGCAACCAGCTATTAAAGCTGCACCAGCTACCGCAACACTAAATATCACAAGCAGCGTCAATAAGCGGTAGTTTACAGACTCATGAATACCACTTCCACATTAAATAGAGTATGGGCTACCGGTTAAACTCTGATGCAAGTCGGTGACTTACCGGGCAAGGTTGAAACTAAACTTTGGTTAGGTTAGCTTCATTGCTGCGACTTGTAGTGTCATTTAGCTAATGTTAACTGCTTCAAGGGAGCCATGAACACGAACAACCTCGGTTTATGCTCTTCACTTTGGTCACCATGATGATGTGGGTGCACAGTAATAGCGGAGAGTAAACAGTGGGAAACATTCACAACCTTGTTTCTACCTGTGAGCTACGGGAGCACTAGGGTTGCATTGCACCGATTTTGCCGTTTCCGTCAGACTGTTAAAAGTAGGGAGTAATGAACTGAAACATCGCACCACAAATAGTCTTCGTACAGGCGTAAACAGGAGTTTCCGGAAACAGCAAACTTGTTCCATAATGTATTAACATCATAGCGGGTTGGTCACATGCGGGAATCGGGTCGAGCTGTCCACTGAATTCATCTTCCATCACTGTGGAAGACCACATGGACCAGCCGTACCGAATCTCTTAATGTTAGACAGTTCCAAATTCAGTTCCACAAAACGACTGTTTTGGAAGGATGAAATACACCTCCAGTAACCCGTTATTTCATCAATGTGAATTTGCATAAAGTGAAATTCGAGTAATTTCTTACGTATAATTGCATAGGTTAAAGTAGCCAGTAATAATGGAGATATTCGTACCCAAGTTATTATATACAACACTGTATTTGAACTGCATAGTCGCATGAGCACGGTTACTCACCGGACTGTTAGGAGTTGACACATCGATCAATAACTTGCCAATCGTGACCACCTGACTCGATGCCTTCAGCTATGGGGCTGGTGAGGTGAGCTTTCGCTGCTTAGTAGCACGCACTACAACACTTATTGCAAGAGACTCCAGAAAGCGGACAGCACGACTCTCTTCCAGGTGAGGGAAATCGTTATCGCGGTTTAGCAGAATAGTTATCGTGGAGGTCAGCCTGCGGCCCACTTTTACAGTTGAAGTGATATGAAGATAAAATACACTTATTGAACTTGTATGGTTGTCCACTTGTAATAAATGGTATCAGACAAATCTGGACATCTAAATTTTTGCATGAGTGCACGACAAAGAATCTATCCTCCTCTCTTCATGCTGCAGCATTCCTTACGAGCAATTTGCTGGCTAAGATGACCTCATTGTCCTTAGTCTCACAGCCCTGTCGTATTGTAAAGATTCTCATGAGCTCGCATGGCTTTGCAGCATAATGGAGTCTACGTCAAACCATTTCATTAAACAGATATTCAGCGCTAGTTTACAGGCGCAGAAACGTCTATCGAAGAAATGAGATGGGATATCATAGGCACGTTTTAGACGCGCAGAAGATAAAGAAGTGACGGTGATAAAAGCAGCTCACTTACCGAAAAGTGCAAAGAATACAAACACGGCTGCCAGTGTCAGCGCGGAAACACACTTCATTGTTGCGCAATCGGGCAGCTGAGATCTCCAACGAATTGTGAAACGTGACATTTTATAGTCTACAGAGAGTAAACTACGATCGTACACTTAGTTGATTACTCGAAGTGAACGATTCACTGACTAACTTTGTGACCTTTGAAAGTACAGTATTAAAAGATTAACTTACTAAAGTTCACAAAGCAACTGTTTCTAACACCCGAGGTGCAGTTTTAAACGCATGCGAATTTAGAGTAATGGGAATACTGTTACAAATTTGTATGATATGGGAACTGAAATAGTCAGTGGCTACTTAAAACACGTAATACTTACAAGTACAAAGGAATGAGTAGTAGTTTTTCAGTGTGTTAGTAGAGCTATACTTGGAGTCAAGTGTTGCTACATTTAAGATATAGGTACTTTGCGTATTATCGCGTGTCACCGATTATGGCCTCACACGTGGCACTATGGGTAGCTAAATCTTCGGGAAACGTGGCTGATTTTGAATTGTAAGTGGCTCGCGTGGTATGGATCAGCTAGTATCCGCCATCGGACGATTATATCGGCACACAAATGTCCGTACTGTCCAACAAATACGACTATTCTGAGCGCAGCATTTATGGAAGAGGAAGAACCACTTACAGTTCCAGTTGCCCGGTATCATGGATTTGGGACGGTTCATGGCTTCGGACGTGAATGAGTTGTTTGACGGGGAAATATATCCGGCTGGATTTGCGGGAACTAATAATAATAAAACTTACATTTCTCTTGATGAGAGGAACTGCGTCTATAGCGACACAGAACAAATTGTACAGAAGAGTCCATGCCCTTGCGTGGGTGAGATGCATAGATGGAGTATTGGGATATACGTTTTATGTATTAACATTCTAACGGGTGGTTGAGGCCAAAGCCTAGTTATGAAAAGATTGGTGTTTATATGATTTGGGGACCCTCTTGGAATAGATCATCGACGGCTTTTCCTATGTGAATATAGAAATTAGGGTAGTTAGATCAAGGAAATTGGTGAGTCTGCTACTAAATTTTACCACATTATCACATGACCTAAGTGTTATTAATAGTTTATTGCACAGATAGCTATATCTGATCAGGAAAATATTAAAGCGGACGTTCGTTCTAGCCTTCGGTATATTCAGTGTAAAAGTGTTGTTGCGAAGCGCTCGAAATGAGCAGTGTTGTACGTTGAGTGTTGGCAGGTTGGAACAGGTCTTTTTGTGCAACATGTTGAAAAGCAGCGACAAGTTTTGCTTTAATCCGCGAATCCGAAGTGGTTCTAGATGAAGTTCCTTGCAACCTTCGCGATAACTCATAGCAGTGCTTTCCAATCACATGTTCAGTAAATGACCTCTGCAGGTTCTCCACTGCGATTCCGTCACTCTTTCTCATATTTCCGTGTATTATGCTGCAGTATTCGAGGATGGGGCGAGTGAGTACCTTGAAAAGCTCAACTCTAGCACGAGTTGTGTGTATTTTGTTTGATGTATTGAACATAGGCTGTCTGGCACGTGCCACTTTGTATTGGGCCTGGTCGGAGTGATCGAAGGCAGAAGATTACCTGTAGGTATGACTTGTATTCGGTTAGAGAACTTTTTTCTCATATGATTATCTACCTGTACTATCAGCTACAATCTTGCACACGTTGCTGAAGCTAATTGTAGTTAATTTCTATAACATTTTCGTCTTTGTGACATTTCGTTAAAATATACTTTCTGACCTCGTGAACTTATCTCGGATTCGTTCGTAATCAATATTTTTATACGCCTATTAAGTGAAGAGTTATGTCTCTGTATCTGGATGCATTATCAGATTTATTTTATTTCATTTTGTTGTTTCAAGTGATTGACCGTTGTTTGACATCCCCGGTGCGGCTGCGCTTGATGTGAATCTTGACAAGGTGCCTACCTGTGTAGTACCCACTACCTCATCCATACTGGCTCTAGGAGAGTTGGTCGTTGCTGGAGGGGACGGGGTCCACGGTCCTTGTGTCCGTACTTGGCTCGAATAGTGGTTCCATGCACTCAGTGTGGAGCGGACTACGATCCACCCACCGCCTTGTGTGCGCTTGATTCCCAAATACAGCGTGCCTGTGTTAGCCGTGAAGGAGTGTGGGCCGGCTCCGTTGATGAAACGTGGCTCCGATCCACATGCCCCCTGGTCTTATTCCTTCGGGTTTACACTGGATATGGGGTGTGTGGATGGAACTGTGGGTGGTGCAGCGCAAGCCACCCATGGTCCATCTGTAGATGCAGGTGTCCTGTGTCTGGCGACAGTGTGAGGCAAAGCCGAAACCGGATGCCGCCAAACATGCCAGAGAAACTGTACGAATGGACTCCGAGACAAAATCTATGACCAAAGATGATTAGTAATATTAATAGTTCTTATTATTATTAATTATCATTACCACTAGTATTGTGAGTTACTCCTAAAGAGGTGTAAACACCGAGGTACATGCACTTGCAACATCCTGATTATTGCAAATAAAAACACTAATACATAATTTTAATAAGGAAAACGTTTAGACGGATCGCATATGCACAAGGATATGAGGTGGAATAAACGCCATCTAACGCAATTCACGACCTCGATGAAGGCAGTAGTGTATTTCTTCGCTAAAACTCAGGCAATGAGACCTTTCAGATGGGGCACAGGTTTAACTAATTGATGCTAGGTACTCAATCGAAAAGGAAAGATCTATACTCGTTCACACATTTGGGAAGGACTTGCACGTGAACAAGCCCTCAAAGCAAATTTCGAAAGAATAAAGGACCAGCGGGTAAGCAAAAATGTATGCAAATTATGTATTGGGTGGTAATGGAAATCAAAGATATATGTATGTACCGAGATGGATTACTAGTTTGAAGCCACTGATATTTAACACGTGTATGAATAGGTAAGCAATTAAATAAGACGAGGCAACACGCAATTCTGCATCGCAAATATGGAATGAGACTGGGGGTACCAAAGAGGAAGATAAATAAAACTTCAAAGCATTTTGATTCAAAATCCTCGAAGGGGGTTATAAAAAATAGTTCAGTCAGAGGGCAAGGATATTAAGGGCGTAACATAAAAGGGTAGTGATGAGGAAGGCTGCGATCACGCAGGAGACTGAAAAACCACTAGAACGAGGGAGGAGCGAAACGGGCGCAGACACTATGGGCGAGATCGGACAGCGCAACCCCAGTACAACACTATGATCAGAGAGCGGAACGCGAGCAACGAACCAGACGGTGCCTGATCCAAAGTGCACTGAAAAGGGATATGTCGATAGGCCAATAAATCAGATAGAAACATCTTTGTCGTTACACCCTGGAGTAGCCCCAAGCCGAATAGGGTAGCTGAGGTCAAGCAAATCAAGAGCGTTAGAACAACTCTAAGCTAGAGAGAATACGAGACACGGAAGCAAAGTTACGGGGTCAGACAGGCAGTCAGGGCCATGAAGTATTCCGGCTGACGAGGCACGAACCTGACATGTGATTCCTTATGTATGTTGTGTTGTGGGACGGAAACATGGTCGATGAATGCGCGAGTGCAGGCGGCTTGTGAAAACTGTGGTCGCGTTTTTGTGCTTTCTTGCCGCTTCCTTCTTGTTACGGTAGCATATTGAATGCATTAACATGTAGGATATTGAAGGATGCGCGAGACGCAATGTAACTTTGGAGCATAAATCGTTTTTGGAAAGATAAAATAGATTGCATCTAACTGCCGTCACCCTGTAAATAGCTGACTCTCTTGTCCCACATGTAGTTGCACAGTGCAAGTAAGCGTCTTGCGTTCAATGGTGTACCTCAACCATTCATCGGTAATTTATGTATGGCTATTTATTTGTTTAATTAAGACAAACATAGAACGCGAGTAAGACATTGCCAGACGAAAACAAAATATCCTAATAAAAGCTTATAGTAGTACACTATCATTTCGTGCAGCCTCTTTGGCCAGTCACGTGCAAGTAACAAAAAATCCAAAATGCGACACCCTGAAAGCGATTGTAGTTGTTCTGATTGATATACTACTCGAAATAGTTTGGAATATTGTTAGGTCGGAGGCCTGCTCAATATTTCGTGGTGTTCTGCGAGCTAAGCAACCTGACTGCAAACGCTTCGGCACCATTCGAGGTGGCAACTGTAGTGCAGGAGTAATAGCAGTCAGGTAGCAGGAGCTGGTAACAAACAAACCCAATGATGGATACTGTGAGCAACCACTCCGTTCCATATATTGGCATACGGGCTATTAAGTTTGCCTCGTTCTGATGGGTGAATGCTTGTGTTCTGCGGTAGTGCTCGAGTTACTGCCATTGGGCGCACAACGTTTACTGCGACCTGGTTTGGAATAGCGCACTCAGATTGGTGCAACGTTTGTGGGTGAGCAGTCTACGCTCACATTGATCATTCTGTTCATTAGCTGGGTGTTGGCTTAGGTTCTTTCGAAAAACGGTTGTCAGTTTTCCTGAGCCCTCCCTGTCTCAGTGGTTGGTATATTGGATCCATGTCGAGATGCATGTTGCTTGAGTTCACGGTTGAGAACCAGGCTTCGAGAAACCCCTTCCCATGTACTTTGTTCCAGTCGAGGCTCTGTCCCGATTCAAATGGAACAAAGTAGATATGTTTACCCGAAGGAGAAACGCCAAACTGGAGAGAGTTTCTCGGAGGTTGGTTCTCAATCACGAAAAGTAAATGCTAGCATACTCACTTCTGTACCACCTCCAGCTTTATGTGGCATGTTAATCCGGTTTGAAGGGATGGTTAATATATTCCAAAGTAGCACAATTTAGGCAACAAAGTGCTGGGAACCAAGGGAAAGATCCAATCGTTGTTTGAAAATATTTAAGGTAAGGAAGGAAACAACGATGTTTGGGAGAGAGTTCCAGGGTTGACAAAATGGAAGAGAAAAATAATTCTGCCGGCATTCCAGGCGGCCATACTGTGCACACAATTTTAGAGAATTACCTCTGAGATTGGTGCTATGGCTGAGTTGCAGCAAGGGACGGCATACATGATTAGTCACACCATATTTGGTAGACTTATATGAGATCGCCGCACAGAATTTGGCAGCGGCCACTGAAAACTTCCAGTAACTCCAGTCTTTGAAGCGGGAAGA